CTACAGCCTCGACCTCCTGGGCTCAAGTAATCCTCCCATCTCAGCCTCCTGAATAGCTGGGACTATAGGCATGTGCCACCACACCGGACCAGACATGATTTTATGTGTAGAAAATGCAGGGACTAGGATCATGTGCTTTTTGACTATAAGAATGTAGGGACTCCAGTGAGAGACATGGGTCTATCCTGTTTTGTCTTCAAAGCATCCCACCAGAGAGCTGCACGTTGTCACAGTGTCAGGGGCTTTGTAGAATTACGCTGGACAGTAGAAACTAGCAAACATGGCTTCTTACCTTTGCTACTGTGTCTCACAGCGGACAAGGCAGCTGTGTCCCTCTCTGAAGCCTGCCCGGCTGGACTTCATGCCCCGCCGGACTCCACACCCGACCAGCGCCTAGAGATTGGGGGCAGCTGCTGGAGTTTGCCAGCCCAGGGCTCAGTGCTCTTTCTGCTTTTCCTGCTGGACTATTGTGTGCGTTTTTGAGGGTGTCACATTTGATCCACATCTTCATGAATTTTTCACAGGAGGAGGGCCAGTGTGGAACTCCTGCTGCCCTGTGTTTACTGGAAAGTAAACCTAACAGCCACCTTCCCCTGCCTTCGCCTATTTGAGATCTCAGTAAGAATGGTAGTGTCTCTACACTGGGAACATCACTCTTCATTTGATTGATATACATTTTTTTGATGTTTATGGTTTTGTTTTATTTTAATTTTATTCCATTTATTATTTTGTGTAGCTCATACTTTTTTTCCCATTTATTTATTTTATTGCATTTTAGGTTTTGGGGTACATGTGAAGAACATACAAGATTGTTGCATAGGTACACACGTGGCAGTGTGATCCGCTGCCTTCCTCCCCATCACCTATGTCTGGCATTTCTCCCCATGCTCTCTCTCCCCAACTCCCCACCCCACACTGAGCCTCCCCTATTTCCCCCCAACAGACCCCAGTGTGTAGTGCTCCCCCCCATGTCCATGTGTTCTCATTGTTCAACATCCGCCTATGAGTGAGAACATGTGGTGTTTGATCTTCTGCTCTTCTGTCAGTTTACTGAGAATGATGGTTTCCAGGTTCATCCATGTCCCTA